CTAAATGATTTTTCCTTTACCTTACTTAGGTAGCTGGAAGAACTCTACAACAGATGTAAGTTCGGCTTCAGCAGTCTTTACAAATGACAGCTACAGGCTGCACTCACATGCTGCTTACACAGACTGCACACGTGCTTAGCTCCTTTCCTACATGGGTTTTTGGCCACTGCTTTCTCTTCCTGTACTGTCAGTGGCTTCCTATTGTATTGTACAACATGCACTTAGCAGGTAAATAAAATATCGATTATTAAAATATCAAATTTATGATGAATGCTTAGAATAGACATCAACATGTTTCCCTTAGAATTTTTTGTTTACAAGCCCTAAAAAATAACATACAAAATAAAACCACATATGAACTGCAGTGTAAAGACATTGTGCCCCACAGAATCACCCTTTACTTCAGCCATCCCAGCCAGGCAGTCTTTATGCATAACAAAGGTGTTCTACATTGCTCACGCTGATAAGCCACATATTTTGTTTTTCTGTTCTTTCCTTAGGGCCCAGTGAATACTCTTTCTGTTTGTTTTCCTGTTGCTATACTATGTGTGTTCAAGGCTGGGCATGCCTGCCCACCTGTCAGCTCACGAGTGTACTCCATAAGTACTTGTCATAGTTCTCTGGGCAAAACCACTTTGCTTTCCCTCTGCTGTAGATGATCTGTATGAGCTTGTGTCCTAATGCTCTAAAACAACTTTTTCCATCATATTTTGGGTTTGATAATGTCTCTGTGAACTACTGAATTATTTATGCTACACATGTTTGTGATCAAGTAAAACATGCGTAGACCACGGCTCTGTGTTTCCAGTGACATCATAGATGCTACGTAACTTGTCTACAGAATGTATTGCACCACTGGCTACCTTGTACAAGTGTTCATCTGAGGGTTCCACTTCGTCCCCATTTCCCTATCGGTATTTGCATCAGTGCAATGTGAAAATCAGCCCTATCTTTTTGTTGTTTTTTTTTTTTTTTTCCATGTATAAGGCCAAAGTTATAGCTTCCTAAAATCCAAAGGTTGTACTATACAGTTCTCAATTTTAAAATTCTAACATTTCTTTTGAAAATTCTGCCTTGTTACTCTGTACAGTTCTTGTGATTGTGAAAAAGAGCTTGTGCTCTTATCAAATACAATATCAATTGAAAACTGGTAAATCAGTTGTTGAAATTCCTATTCAGATTAATTTGGGAGGGAGAAGCAAGAAGTCGGTCCACAGCATCGCTAGGTTCATTACTGTACACAGAGAGACCTGGTGTGGTGGCTGTTCCAGGATAATGCCTCAATTGAAAGCATCACACATCTTCACATCTACATGGGATAGTATTTTGGGGGATAATGGGAATGGAATTCAGGCCTTTGAACTCTTTGGAAGGGGCTGCATTACTGAGCCACATCGCCAGCCACGGGGCACACATTGTTATATCATTTAGATCCACCACTTTTCCAGAAATTGTTCACGTTCCTGTGATGGCCATGGTCATTCCCTGCTCAGCACAGCGGACCCATGAATGGTTTCATTCATCAGTGGTCGCAGCGAGCATGTTTTTGATTCTGGCTGTAGGTGCATAAGAGCCTTTTACTTGCAGTTTGGTCGTGTGTATTTCACTGTCTTGCAGCCTTTCTTCTGTTGTAAATTCCAAGACTGAATGACAGTGCTGGCACTCTGTCCAACATTTTTCCAGTTTCAAGACCTGATATAAGCATGTAAAACTGATTAAAGTAAAATATTTTATCATTAAATGATACCATCAAAAATCCATAGAAATGGGTAGTACCTGCTT